TATACCAAACAGCACAATGCTTAACCTATATTTATATAATATTTATAATATATAGGACATTCAACTTTAGTATCACAATCTTTAACTATCTCTAATGAATTAACAATCCTGATCTTCTTGGTATTACAACTCGAATTAGGCTTCAACAACTATAAAATAACTCATGATCCCCTATTAATATTCTATATCATTCTAAACCAATTATTGATGGTCCTAACAAACACTCATTAAACTTTAAAATTATTCAACTTTTTATCCATCTAGGCTTAGTAATCTTAGCCAACCCTAATATTATATGGCTCCATACAATTAGTAATGAAAGCCAGTTACTATAATCAATCTTATCTCAGCATTCCAAATACCTAATCTTTAAAAAACAACTTAGACAATCTAATATTATATATCTTGAACAACTTTGCACAGTGAAGAACAGTACCTTATTAGATTGGAAATATCTCTTATCTAGACTTTTATTTTTGTCTAAAGAAAAAAAACCTCTTTGGTTTTCTTATCTAGAAAATACAATTTTAGGACACTCTTATTATCAAAATATACTACCATACTACCAATTACCTGGTCATAACCCTTATGCCTATTATACTATTAATACATTTAAAAAACTTACAAAATCTAAACTTTGGTTACTTTCATATCACAATGAAGAAATTATTATTGGAAAAATACGAAAATACTTCCTCTTATCTAACCATTACTCTATCACTCACTGAACCTCTAATATAGATTTAAATTATTTAAAATTCTATCCTTTACCTTCTGATAAATACAAATAATATACAGAATGCTACCTTAATTTCTACAGAATTAACCAAACTTGTACTGTTGAAGTTTCTGCAGTTATTTCAATATAATTCCTTAGCAGAACTAATTCTAAACACCAACTCAATCTCAGCTCAAATTACTTGGATCTTATCTGCTCTATAGCTGTTAAGCATCCAATCCATATTTCTCCCCTACCTATAATTCCTATTTCTAATTCAATTGCTTCTGAAATCTTTATTTCAAGCAAAACTACCAACAAACTTTTATCTATTCTTAACTTAACTACTCTTACCAACAATTATTCTTTTATACTGATGATTCAGTAATCAATATTGGTACTGATCAATGCACAATGGGTATTGGTTGGATCCAAATTGATAATAATAATCAAACTAGCAACTTGATTTTTACTAAAATACAATTCTGGCCTTTATTACATAAAGCTAAGCTTTTCTCAATTATTACTGCAATATCAACAGCTTTATGCAATTCAGTAGTCAATATTTTCACTGATTCCCAATTAGTAATTTCCAAATTTAATAACCTTCAACTTTACTTAAACCATCCTAATAAGTTATTCAAATTCAACTTATGACCTATTTGGCACACTCTTTTCAATATTATTAAATCACACAAATTACAAATTATCTTTCACAAAGTGCAAACTCACTTAGATAATAATCTTAATAAGCAAGCAGACTCTCTTGCCAAACAACATTCATCATTACTACTTCTTTTATTTAATTATACAAATCTTTACAATCCTTATTATATTCTTCAATAGGAGCAACATTATATAGAACTTCCTACAAAATACTTATTAAGCAAATATGTAAAGCCCACATATTAGCTATATGGGCATCCCAAAAACAAAAATAGTAAGTAGTCATACTTTAATCAAGATATTGACTGGAAATCTACTTGGCTTTATTTTAATCATAATCAAAAACTCTCACACAATATTACTAATTTTAGACTCAATCAACTAAAATCCTTTGAAATCAAAACTCTTCTTAATAAGTTACTAATATACTAACTATTTCATACTATTTACCCAAACCAATATCCAGATACTAACTGCTTTCACTATAATCTAGCTAATTTTCATACTCACTAGCATACTTGTGCTAATATACTTTTGCTTAACCAAATTATTCAAACATCTACCAATCAAATCATCTCTAGCAAATTACCTAATCTTGATACTTACCAAAAAAATAATCTAATTTATAAAATTCTTTATTATCCAGCTCTTAATTTCTTATACAGCGTACCTAACACATTTTATCCTAACCTTACTCTTAAAGGACTTATTTCAAAGTTACTCATATTAGTAGTTCAAAACTTTAATACATCATACAAAGCTGCCTCTCAAGTTATTATTGATATTCTTCTCAACATTAACAAACAATCATATGAACAACTATGAAAAACATATTGCATTTATTTTTCTAACTGAAAAAAACAACAAAATCTCAACCAGTCAACAAATCTTCAATATTATCTAACTTAGCAACTAGATATACATGTTTTCATAAAAACTATACTTACTCATATCTCTGCAGACTTTCAGATCAGCTACATATTCACTCTAACATATGCTCTCCTATTGGCCAAGCAATTTGCAAAATTAATATTTGGTCTATTCTATGGATCAAATATAGCATATCATCAAGTTATATACTAAACATTCAAATCTAGGTGAGCTTTGACTACTCTAATAGGTTTAGGTTACAGATAAATTAGTCTGAGCTTTTATTCTTACATGTAATTTTCAATTTATTTGTTTTGTACCAATAGTAGTAGCTGTATAGATAGAGTTTAATGATTAGCCCTAACTGCAAATGTTGGCTTTGGTCATAGCAAATATACATGTAACTATTTTAAATTATTAATAAAGATATAAGCAAGGCCTTACCTTAATATCAAAAAAAAAAATAATAATAATTTTGAATTTATATATTTAAAAATTATTGTTATACAGTGACAACTTATATTTACTAGTTCTTAACAAGCAAATCTTTAGTGAAAGCTGCTATATCCTTATTAAATATATATTAAAAATTATCATAGTATTTATGTAACTTTTTGTTTAATACTTTAAATTCTCAAGATACAAAATCCATTGATAGAGCAATTTTCTTAATTAGTATTTTTTTAGTAGGATTTTGTGTACATAAAAATAAAAGTTTGCATTATTCTATAACCAAATTTATTATAGTTTCTTTGCCAAATGGTTCAAAAGTATTACCTTCACTCTAATAAAAATTACATATTTTTGCACAATATAAAAATATTGTTAAATGTTTAAATTCATAATATATACGTATTAAAATCTAACAATTAACTATATGTTAATAATAAATTAGATATATAGTATCTATTATCAAAATACAAATAAATAAACAAACCTTATGCAATAAAGAAGTTGTTGCCAATTTTTGTACTTAAGCAATTAAATCTGGTCATGTGCACAACCAATTAACTAATGATTTCTCATCTGAAAAGTTTAATGCTTGTGAATTAATATTAGCAGTTGTATTATAAGAATTTGTTGGTAAATATGAAGCATATTAAAGTTGCATATCTATACTTGAAATTTTTTCTCTAGGTTGACAATAATAATTTGTAGATTGTTACTAGAATTCCAAGTAGGAATATCATGGAAAGTTGCTAATAAGAATGAAGTATGTTAAAATAACATATTTGGTCTTGAAACATGTTCTTTATTAGAATTTTGTTGAGTTACAAAAGATTCTTGACTTTGATTGCTTATTAAATCATAATCTGTTAAAGAATGTGAATCTGATATATTATCTAAAGACATTTGTAACAAACTTCTATATCATCTTTCTGGTGTAATCAAGTTTCTAGATATTGCAGATCTATTTTCATAAAATGATGTTAAAGCTCAAAATCTATTTGCATTTTTGTCTAATAGTGTAGTATTATAAGCTATGTTTTGTGTTGATGTATTGAATTTATTTGAGCTATTAGTTGTTACATAATCAAAATTATAAACTAATGCTGAATCAATATTATATAAAGGTCTTGGATAATTTGAGAGATTTTTTGACATATAATTATAAGCTAGATCTTGATTTTGTTGATATAGCTATATTAAATTATTAGTTGGTGTGGCATATAGAGCATGAGCAGAATTATCTGAATTAAGTTGCTCAAATAGAGTGTGAGCAGAATTATTTAAATTAAGTTATTTAAATGAAGCATGAGCAGAATTATTTGAATTAAGTTGCTCAAATAGAGTGCGAGCAAAATTATTATAGTTTTCTAAAAAGACAAAAAAGTAAAAAAAAAAAAATTAATTTAAAATAAAAAAATTTTTTATAATAAAAATTATTGCTTTCATTCATTGCTTTTTTTGTATGTTTATTAGATGCTGTTCTTGACTTAGATGTTTTTTCTTTAGAAGAACCTAAAAAGAATAATAATTAGTATTATTGTTAAAAGGTTTATTATTATAAATACTTACTAATAATTTATTTTTTTCTTGTCTTGGTATTTGATTTTTTCTTTATTTTTAGTTTTAAAAATTAAAAATAATTGCATATAAAAGTAAATAAATATTTTAATAATCAGTATTACGCAATACTACTAATATTAAAAATAAATAATCAAAATAATGATAACAATTTAATATCTTTTCTAATGTCTCAACATCAGCTATTACAGTTTAACAAAGTCAAAACTTTACACTTTTATTTACAAGCATCTAAAATTTTAAGAAATTTATTTTCAAATAATAATGAAGATACTTTAACAAATTTATATAGCCCTTCATTGCAAAATGATAGTAATAGCAAATAATCTAGTTGTAGCAACTTTAATATTGTTGAAAATTTTAATAATGATAATTGTCCGAAGCGTAGTGAGGACTTAACTGTTTAAGAAAACTTGAATGCATGATCATGCAATGTTAGTCCGAAACTACCAATCAAAATCGAGAATTGAGGTTCCCATAATGATCTGCAGCCAATGTAATTTGTGTTACACATATACACATATTTCGCTTTGGACTTACATCAGTTTCTGATTTCCTAGTTTACAATCAGGCTATGATGAATCTAATAATGATAATTTGGATTGGGATAATATTCAATATGAATATAAAAGTTACAATACTAATTTAGAAAGCCAAGATGATATTAAAACAATTCTTACCTATACTAATAGTTCATCTGAAATATTTGATGATACAAACTATTTATTGTAAAATCAAGAATGCCAATTCGGTGCTTTTGAAAACTTCATGACTATGGCAATGTTTGTATAAGCTACAAAATACATGATATGTAAGTATCTATAATTTTTTTTTTACTTTAAAGCAGCAATCTTGCCTGTATGTCTTTTATTAAGTAATATATATAATTACATTATTATATACAAAGTCTATCAATGAGGCTACAATTAGCTACATATACAACTTTAGGCATTGTCTATTTAAAGGCTCCATCTGCAGGTTACCTACTAATTGCCATACCTGAAATCTGCCTATAGGTTTTCTATTTAAAGTCTCTGATTTTCAACACTATTGCATATATATGCAACCTTTATACTACTATTGTGTTGACATATCAGGTTAGAGCTACCTGGTTACTATTTATATTAAGGTACCACTCTATTGGATGTTACTAAGTATCTATAGCCCTCAATTTATCCTTAACACAAGCTTACTAAGCTGGTATCAAGATTATCACTTAGATTCGACTTAGTATAACTCATATCTACTAAACTAGTTTTAATGCTAGAGGTGTTCAAATTTCAGTAAGTTCATTTCTTTTTCATAGTTTTCTTTTATATTTACTATATCACCTGCTAGTGCACTTTCTTTCCATTTCTGATATGTCTACTGCTTTTCTCGCATCGAGCGCCAACTTTTTATATTGGAAAACTTCTTTTCAGGAACTTCCTTATACACTGATCTTCTAATTACATGGACTTAATCACAGAGCTTCATGTACATTTGTATGCTTCTGTAGATTACAGAATTTTTGTCTCCAGCTAGAATTAAACTGTTGATCTTGTCTGTAGAGAAAAGGCATCTAGACCACTTGGCTATGGGACCCCATCCCTAAGTATCTATAATTTTAGTGAATTTAATATATTTAATATAACTTTTTTTTTTTTTAGCAACTGCTGCTTATCAAGACTTGATTCAAATCTTACTTTATCCTTAATTTGAAAAATGCCATCTAATCATTAATTTATAAAAACTCAAAAAATATTGTGAAAGACTCTCTTTAATGCAAATTAGAAGTCATACTATTCTAATTAATACTCAAAATACATCATCTATAGCTAAAAATTCTACAAAAGTTTATTATTTCTCATTAATTAAGTATCTTCAATATATATTAAAAAATTCTGCTATTAGGCCTTAATTATATTTTGGGCTAGGTGTTTTCTCTGAATTGTGTGAAGAATTATAAGAGGGTAATCTTTAGGCAGAATTGCCCCTCTTTGATTAGTCTAAGATAACAATATTACAAGGTAATTTATTTAAAAAAAAATCCATATAAATATATTTAATTATCTTTAAAGAATTTTGTTTTATAGTTACACTTCCACATAAGCACCTTCTGTATAATTATATTTATTTTTTTTAGATGAACTATTATTAAATATATAAAAACAACTTATTATATAAGCATAATATAAGCATCTTTTTAATTATATAGAAGTATGACTATATGTTGATATAATTTTTTTTTTAATTATATATAAAAATTTTATGTTTTTAGACTTTTTTAAATGTGTTAATTTCGTTCAATATTTTTTTTAAAATTCTTTGGAACATGGTCAAATACAACATTTGTAATTCATAATAACTTGATAAAAGTTCAAATGCAAAGAATAGTTCTTTACAACAAGATTCCACAAAATTTATATTCAGAAAAACATTTATTACATGCATAATAAGAATAGTTTTTGGCAGAAGAACCAAGTTATTATATCATAGAGCTATCATCTTTAATTTGAAAGATTAAAGTTTGGCTTAAAGACCAACAACAACTACTATTTTTTTTTTTTTTGGTATTAAGGTGACCTCTTTGGTCTTTTGACTTTTATTAATTACTTATCAATATTATGGTTTAATAAACCACTATAGGAGAGAGTACAATTGGCTACACATGTAACTTTTCTATATTACCTATTTAAGAAGTTTGCTCAAAGGTTCTCTACCAATTGCTGTACCTAACACCTCTGCTTGGGTGTTCTATTTTAAACCCTCTAAATCTGTAATCTGTATTAATTTACTAGGTTATACTCAGATGTCCAGATCATCATCTTAATCTTAGAACTAATTTATCCTCAAGATAAACCCCCAGAGCCTTCTGTACTTATTTTTACAGCTGATCTAGGTATCACTATGACAGAACCAACACTTGTAGTCAGGGTTGACCATTAAACTGCTATGCTTTTGTAGAGTTCACTTAGACTCTAGCATTTACTTTACAGCATAATTCTGGTACTTTAGTATACCCCTGCCTTTTCATCTGCCTTTTTACCAAACTCCTAATTCAAATAGCCTATGTAGGACTACAATCAGTTCATTAGTATATTAGGTCATCCCGATATTCTTTTCCTTCAGTTCATTCTGATAGCCTAGATGGTGGTACTCATGAGACTCCCAACCTGAAGGTTCTTGCCTATCTGGCTACTATGACTAGGTACTATGATCTTGGTATCCATTTCCCTAAACTAGTCTTTATAGTAGGGCTGTCAAAAATTCAGCTACCTCTTTACTTGGGTCTTCTCAAATGGACTTCTTGTTACTCAATTTCAACAGATTTATACAGCCACAAAGACTTATCTAGTATTTGTACTGCCCAATTTGTTGGTTTGCATTCCTCCGTGTAACACTATACTTATACAGATGCCCTATAACCTGCTAGTTAACCACCATAAATTTTATATAATTTTAATAAAAAGTGAAAAATTCATTTTATCAAATTTCATAATCAACATCTAGCTGAATATATATTAATAAATCTACCACCTAATCCTGCTATGTCTGTTTTAAATTTTTTTTTGAATCTGTACTATGATAACTTTAGTACTTTTCACAATATTTATCATGCATTAGGTGGAATCTATCTACAGATTGGTAATATGGCATGTCAAATGAGAAAACAATTATACAATCATTTTGTTATTAGTTTTGTATCTTTTGAAGGAGATATTTAAAATTTTATTAAACCTTTTCTCAAAGAAATTAAAAAACTTAAACAAGGTTTTGTGATAAATTTACATAGAATAGATTACTAAATAACTGAAGGATTAGATGTTTTTATGATGGATCTGCCTTAGGGAAACGATATTGCTAGAGTTTTATGCCATAATGCATATAGAAGTTGTTATGCATGCAAGGCACCTAAAGATTAATTCACTAATCTTTCATATGATATATATTGTCATGATCAATACTACCAAATAACAGATAATAAATTCCAACATATAAGTTACCAAACATTAAATAATTCAAAATCTCATTTTTGTTCTCAATATGAACTACATTTGCATAGACTATTAGATCTACTATTACATGATTGTCACCTGCATACATCTCAAGATGCATATCATGCAGTTGCTGGAAAAATAGCTTAACTACTCAATTGTACTTGTTCAATTTTAAAATCATATGATGAAAACAATTTAATCAATTGTTAAAAAAATATTGAAATTCCAGTGCAATAGTCTTGTTTGCCAAACCCAATTACTTACCAACATTTATTTATGATGTTAGATAATTTAAGGATTCTTATAATCTTTCCATTTGTATTAAACTGTTGTTTAACTCTTAATAGTATTAAGGAAGATTATTTAAAATCTGCATGCAATAGATTACATTTTTCTTAACAGTTAGAAGTAAAGGATTATATTATTTATATTTAGGCACTTTCTGCAAAAGCAGTTAAAGAAGTATTTTCATTAAATATACAATAATCCACTAGATATTCTAAGTTACAAGTTATACTAAATAAAGAACTTGAGGCTTTAATTAAGATATATATTTATATTTGGTTAAAACTTTAAATTTTAAATACTAATTTTTTAAAAAATTTACTACAAGCTTTTTCTGATAGTTTTCAAAACCTTCTCAACCTATATATAAACCATTATTTAGTGAATTATGCATACCAATACACAACTTGTATTAATATAGCTGTTGGTACAAAAGAGATAATTCATAGAATATTTAAAGCAATTGTTCCACATACCAATAAACATAACCTTGAACTTACTCTATTGCAGCATATTAATACTTTACAAACTTTACAATATCTTGTTGATAATGAGATAGATAATGAATACCTAACTATTCTACACAATCTATTTTTATGCCATTAATTGCTGTACTACAGCTTTGTAATTTGTTATCTGGCTAGTGTATCAGTAATTATAATTTGTTAATATACTGTTTAAGCAATATATCTAACCAATTACAACCTGAAGGTTTGTTTCTTTTATTTTTTGTTTTGAATATTATACTTAGCAGGTACTTGACAATAGTTTTTTTTTAGATAATTCAACTATTATTGTGAATCCAAACTTTTTTAATTACTCTGAAATAAAGTTAGAACAAAAATAAAATAAATATCAAATCAAAACTACAGGTTTTGTATCAACAAATATTGAAATGAACAACCTTTTAAAAGATATTATAGATGCATATTCATTATATTATTTATTTGAACAAGCTCTACTAGAAACATAAGTTTGTTTTTATAAGAATGCAATATATACAATATGCTAATCTAATGGTGACTATTATAATATAAAATTAAAAATTAAAGAAATAGTTGAGGCTAGATTATTTGGTGAAGATCATTCAAGATTTGGTAAAATAACTGGTATAATTGAGCATTTTTAGAATAATGGTCAAGCATTTATTTTTCTTTGTTTTAATTGGCTAGAAAAGTTTAGTAAATTAAATTCTTTACTAGACTGCCCAATTTATCATATTCAGCATAATTCTTCAAATCAAATTTATCTGATTTCTGTAGTATTATAGTCATTAAATATTCATTTTTTTCGTTATTGTAAAGCAAGTTATTCTTTTCAACAACATAACATTATAAATTATGAATATATTTGAAATATCTTTTTTTTTACAGCAATTTAAGAATAGATTTATTCTAGACTTAGATTTATTAAATATTTACTACTTTTAGATATGTATAGCTTATTTGCATATTATACATTGTAAAA